AAGGGAGGTGATGGCAAAAAAAAAAAAAAGGCAATAGAGGCCCAAACAGAAAGTCTCTTGGTACTGAGCACTTCCTGGCTGCTTCATCTCTGCCAATGTGGGTGTTTGAGGCTGAATGGAGCCAGTTATATACCTGAAATCTGCCAGAGTATCTCCACCCTCAGGAAATTTAGGCGTGTGGGATGTCCCGCAATGGATGGTGCTGTGCGTTCAAGGCCTTTGTGTGCTGGAAACCCTAGCATCGCCCCTGACTCAATCCCAAAGTATTCTTTTTTCTTTGCTCACTTGCGTGTGTGTGTGTGTGTGTGTGTGTGTGTGTGTGTGTGTGTTGATACTGGGGCTTGAGCTCATGGCCTGGAAGCTTTTACCTTTTTTTTTTGTAGCTGTTGTTAGTCATGGGGCTTGAACTCAGGGCCTGGGAGCTCTTTAGCTCAAGGCTAGCTAGCACTCTACCACTTGAAGCCAAAGCCCCATTTCTGGTTTTCTGGTGGTTAATCAGAGAGAAGAGTCTCATAGACTTTCTTGCCTGGGCTGGATTCAAATTGTAATAATCAGATCACAGCCTCCAGAGTAACTAGGGCTATAGGCACGAACCACTGAAGCCCAGTTTTCCGAAGTTTTCTTTATCTGCAAATGGGCTATGGAAGACTAAGCTCAGATAGGCACCAGACGCAGGAAGGGTGATGGAAGCAGATGTCAGGTTCTTGGAAACAGCAGAGAGCGCAGGGTCTGTCTGGCGTCCTTTATCTGTAAGTTTGTGCAGCTAGCTCATGGGATATGTGCTCTGACTCGGTCTCTGGCGGATAAGCAGAGTTACCACACAGGCACACTCTCTGGCTTGCCTGAGATGATTGTGTTGTCTTAAGTATAGTCGTCAAAACACCTTTGAAACAATTCCAGTTCCAGTGATGCATTGCACAGCCACTCTACTTACAAGGTATTTTAAGTTCCAAGTGTGCCTGAGTTATTTAGCATTTCCTTCTGTAGACCTTCCTAAGGACATTTCACAGAACAGACTGGCATACCTTCAAGGGGAACTCCATCCACAGACCGGCAATCAGAGAAGACAAACGCACACCAAAGAAGGAAATGCAGGCCTGTGCTCTTTTGTGAAGTCTTGGGCAAAGCTCCAAGACTCAGCTCTCCAGGATATGGAGTAGAGAAGGGACAGGGGAATGCTCGCCTCCCCTCCTCCTCCCCTCCCCCGGCCAAGGGTCACCCTCTTTGGGCAGCCAGCTCCTGGTGTCTGGACACGGATTGGAGTTCTGCAGTTTTGTTGTTTTGACTTGTGACTGGGTCTTGCTTCTTATTCTAGGCTGTCCCAGATGGTGTCAGTCTAGCCCAGGCTGACCTTGAGCTGGAGATCCTCTAGCCTCAGCCTCCTAAGAGCTATGCCTAGTGGGTGATGTGGTATTTCTTTTAGGTTTAGGAAATGTGGCTTGAGGCCACAGGAGCAGTAGGAAGAGGGGTTTATTTATTGTCTGCCTATGCTGGGCACTGAGAAAGGTTTTCTGGTCTATTGTTTTTATTTCTATTTTGTGTGTGTGTGTGTGTGTGTGTGTGTGCACACGCGCGCTTGGCTTTTTCATTCAAGGCTGGTGCTCTGTCACTTGAGCTACATTTCCATTTCCGATTGTGTGTGTGTGTGTGTGTTGATAAACTGGAAATAAGAATCTCAGGAATATCTGTCTGTCCCCACTGGCTTCAGTCTTTCAAATCCTCAGATCGGAACCCTCTGATTTCCTAGGATGACAGGAACGAACCACTGGCCCCCAGGATACTAGGGCTTACTATTAATCCCCCCCCCCCCCACACACACATTACATGGCGGTGGCTCATAATCGTTTCACAGGTGACTGTGGCACCAGCCGGGGTTGTCTGGGCTCCTCAGTAGAAGGGACAGAGCGACAGGACAGACCTGCCTTGTAAGGGCTCCACTTGCACCCTTAGATGCGGCCAGCAGGACACACAAGTTGAGAGACCCTTGCCCCTCCTCTCCGGGGTGCGAGTTGATCATGGTCCCGGCCTCCCAGATTCTGTCTCCACCGTCCATCTGGCCCCTCGCACGTGCAAGGCCGCGTCCCCGGGACGGCGGCGACGGGACGCACAGTGGGGCGGCTGCGGGGCTCTGCGGAAGCGCGAGAGTCGGCGTCTCCAGCCCGGGGGGCGGGGGGCTGCAGTTCCCCGCGGCCGCCGCCGGGAAGCCGGGTCTGGGCGGGGACCGGGCCGCCGGGCTCCTCGCCGTGACATCAGCACTGTGCAGTGCGGTGTGCAAAGCCCGCTGGTTGGCGCGGCGCGGGACACGCCTTCCCGGAGCGGAACA